CTGAAATAGCTCTGGCACTTAAACCTTCGCTGCTGTAAGACCGAGAGAGAGGGGGAAAAAAGGTGTCTGTAAATTAAAACATGTGAAAGAGGTGGTCCGAAAATAACAGGGAGCAGCACTTTTCCCATCAGCGTCGGCAGGGCTGCATGCCAGGATACAGATGTTGCAGCAGTCACTGCTGCGTCTCAGACCGGCTCTGCGTTTGCAGTCCCACCTCCGCTGCTGCTGCAGCCGTCCCGCTCCCCCTCTACAGAGATGATGTCGCCTGTGTGATTTATCGCCGTGTCCTTGTGTGTGTTTTAATGTCATTGAACTTCAGCGTACGCATTATTGATCAGTCGTGCCCCACCAATCCGAGCCCACCTATCCGCCCACTCCCCCCTGTAGGAAAACTCCACCTGTTTCATATTCATCCCTGTGTGTTGTCTTTTAGCTCCATCTCTTCTTTTTATGTGCCTCTCTGTGTTATCACCCCCCTCCCTCCATCTCTGTCTGTCTTATATTCATCTCTGTTGAGCTTTGCTCTCTCCTCTCCTCTTTCTCTCCCAGAATATTAATATTAATACCTCTTTCTTTTTTCCTTTACTCGTTTTTTCTACTACTGATCTCTTTCCTGCTCCTTCTACTATTTATACCTCTATCCCTTTCACCCAGCCTTCCCTCCATCTGTCTCGATCTCCATTTCTTTCTTCCTGCCTGTCTCTCTTTCTCTGGCCCTCTCTCTCTGCAGCTGTTCAGTATTCATCTATTACTGTAGTGTTGATAATTCCCTCCTCTGCCTGCAGCCATACAGTCATCTATCAGATTAATAATCCCTCTCTTCTTCACATTCTCTGCACCCCCAACCCACGTCTTCTTTCTTTAGGATGCTCAGCGTGTCAAATGGGTTTTCGTGTCAACGTCCCATCATTACAACCATCATCATTAATAACCGGATCCAGATTACTGGATGCCCTTATTTGGGGTTATTCAGGCCTAAATAACCTGCAGGGGGAGCAGAGGCCTCCTTTTTTTTCCCTCCTCAGGGCTGCTAGAGTCTGTCTTGACCGGTCATTTATTAGAAGTAATGTGGACCGCACTATTCCAGGCCCATTCTGCGGCCCCCGGAGCATACAGCGCAACAATGACATTAGCATTTTGGTCCCACCTCTGTGTCTGCTGCAGGAAAATGCCACTGGAATGGGTGGGCTTGTTGTTTTCAGGCTGTGGTCCTTTAATAAGTCTGAGTTTAATTGCAGTTCATAAGTGTGGCATGTTCGAACATCTATCCATCATTGTCGTATTAATTGTTATACCTTGGTATAATTAGTGTTAACAAATGAGAGCGTGGCAGAGATGACTGCAAGCCTCCACCTCACACTAGTGATGTTATTAATGGCTCTCAGACTTTTAGACTAAATGCCTCAGAAACCCCATCGCTCCCCGTCAGCAGAGTTGTGTTTGACTTTTTTAATTGATGGTCACTTATGGTGAGTTTTATTTTGTTCTCTTTCTCCTTTTCTTCTCTTTCGCCTGATAAGGAAGGGATACTGTATGGAAAACAATATTCCTGCTTGATGAAGGGCATTATGCAGTGAGTTCATCAACACTTAGGGTGATAGACTTATAAAATCGTTATTATCAGAAAATCTGCATTTTGGATTTATCTTTTCATTTTACACATAAAAGTAAAGTCAATACATTTATAATTGTACATCTGCTTATGAATTAAATAAAGGGAGTCATTACAGTATATGAGGGCTTTTACCGAACAGAAATTTTTTCCCCAAATGAGACTAAATATGTAACACATAAGCAGTAGTCTTTAAAATCAAGAAATAGCAGTAGGGATGCACCAATATGAAACTATAACCCAATATTGATATCTGGTATTAATATTGTTGTTTTGGACTGATAACAAGGGCCAGGACTAGATGGGGGGTGCTGGACCTCACTGTATTAGCTTACTTAGTTAAAAATTGTACTCAAACACAATTAAAAGGTATAGAGGACAATCTTTTATTTCCATGTCGATCATCAAAATAAGTGATCATCCTAATTGTCAATCATTCTGGTCATATGTTTACGTAAGGCCGTCCTACGTGCTAGTCCCGTTAGCAATTTTTCAGTCATATATATCAGTGGTCAGCTACGGTGTCAAGACAGTCATTAAAGCTCACATTTCTCACCGCGGTTCTTTGAAAATGGCCGAGGGTCGAAAGAAAAAAAAATGTCTAGGAAGTTTATGAGAAAAAAAAGAAAGGCCTCAGAAGAGGCAGATATATCCCAGAATGCTTTGCACGGAGAGCTCGCCACGCAACATAATATGGGATTTGCTGTCAAAGCGGCCCATTGTCGCCATAGGATGTTGCTACCCCACAGCGGCGACTAATAGCAAAGATGGCGCAGGCACCGCACGGTGGAGGAGGAGTTACGTGACCACCGGAGCAAAAAGCAGTGATCATCTTTCCAATTGGTCAGTTAACTGTATTTTCTATATAGCCCACTACTGTATATAGTGGAGACAGTAATAAGCTTGTATGACCTATGAGAACAGCACATTTTAAACAGGGCGTGCACAAGGACAGATGGGTTCCTGCATGCTCTTTGCAAACCCATTGTTTTTTAAAGTGGAGAGGGCAGGTCTTTTAAAAAAATCCTCCACAATACCTTTAAGTTACCAGTTCAAATTGTTACTTAAAAAAGTAAAAATAAAAGTAAAAGTTACTTACTTGTTTGTAAGCATAAAAGAAATGTTGTGGTTCATTTTTTATATTAAAAGATGAGCTATATCCCTTCAACTTCCCCCAACCAAAAAAAATCTGGCTCCTCCACTGCTGATAACCAATATTTACCAACATACAGCTCGTGTCTGTTAATATTGGCCCAGCTTTACTTATCAGACCTATATTGATGTGACCAATACTAATATCATTGCTAATATATTGAGCCTCATTATTTAGCAGACTATTTTCCATTTTTGTGTGTCTTTTAAAGCCGTTGAGGAAAGAAATATAAACATAAGCTTAGATAAAAAAAAAGATATAACATGTTATGTTGAGATATTATTGGAAAGCTTGTTCCTTTTCGCTTAAATTTGTCTGTTTTTGGAAGGAAAAGACAGTTTTAAAATGCCAATGCCAAACAGCTTATTCTGCTGTTGACTTTATCTTTTTGGTGATTTCTATTGGATTGAATGATTAAAGTTTGAAGAAATACGACACCATGGCAATTTGAAAAATACATTTTTTTATAAAAAAAAAAAAGCCATAATGTCCTTCTAATCTTGGTACCAACGAAATTTTGTGCGCAATTCAAGCAGCTGATATAATGGCTAACATGAAAAACAAGGTAATTAAAAAGATAAATAACAAAACAAAAACACAAAACAAGCCCTGTTATCCTTAGAGTAAGATCCCGTCCCAAACCATCATGCTGCCTCTATCTAATACTGTCTTGCATTCTAGGAAAGGAGTTGGCAGAAAAGTAGAAATCATAGACTACTTCAGCACAATCTACACTTTATGCGATTACTGTGCTGGATATAAAGCTGCATAATTTTCTCATAAGTTTGCTTACGTCTTCTAAGACTTTTCTAATGTTTCTTGAACTAGCTACAAAGGGTGTTTAATGTTCAATACTTTATGGTTTTTAATTTTTTGTGTCTTCTGAGGATACTTAGTGTTTTTATTTATGAAGATTTTTTATTTGTGTCTGGTTATTATATGTATGTTACGTCCACCAGGCTTGTTTGGTGGGGGTAACATTAAAGGAGACCACACAAGGAGTTTCTTTAAAGTAAAAATTGAATTTATTAAATTATAATAAAGAAACAATACCTGAAAAGGGATAAATAAAATGGGGAACAGAAAATGGCTTAATGCAAAACCAATAACTAAACAGAAATAAGCAAATGCAACCAAACCTAACAAAACCCAACCATAGGACAGGATACAAACCAAACCAAGCCAAACAAGGTTCTGAGGAGGTAAAAGAGAGAAGCCTCCTGTCTGCTGCTTGCATGACAGCTTTTAAAGCAGACGAGCACCAATTAGGGCAAAACAGAACACCTGCAGAAGGCCTGCATCCAGAACCCTGCAAGGAAAAGTGGAGAAACCCACTGCTCGCCGTAACAATGTGTGATCCCCCTTTTACCGGCTTCACTGTTTTAAAGAGGCCTAGAGTTCTCTACCCATTTTAAGGCATGGTGGTGGCACCATCATACTGTGGGGCAATTTTGTTTCCACTTTTATTGTTGCATTGCATCAATGGGGTGAAAGGGTTAACGTTAGCCATAAATCCATGGGTTGGCGTTTAAAACTTGCACCAACCTGAATGTTCCAGAAGAAGAATCCCAAACCAAACATGCATCTAAACTGGTTACACTGGTCTAAGCAGCAGAAATTAGCTGAGACCTTAACCGGACTGAAAGATTAATTAGAATTTGCAATTATTGATGATTGGCAAAAGCACATGGTTGGCGTAGAATTTCCCAAATATTCCTTACTTAGAGCTATTTTTCACAATTTGTTTAAAGGCTCAAAATAGCAGGAAATCCATGCTTGTGATTTAAATGATTTTCTATACAGCAGAACACTTAAATGCTATTTAGGAAGATTTTTCCATATATTCCTCTTTTACTTCAGCTTGAGTCGTTTGTGTAAATCACATGCATGTAATGTCAGTAGAAACACATGTTTTCTCTTTACTTTGCGTTTTGTTGTCGTCTAAACCTTTTAACAATTAAAAAACACCAGAATCCTCTGCTACTGTGCAAAGGGATTTGATTACTGGCAGAATATCTGTTCAGGGATTATGTGGGATTTGATGTGAGCAGCGCCACAGAAGTTCTAATACTTCTGACAGATTTTTTTGACAATCCCTCCCCTGATAAGCCTTACTGTAGATGTCTTGCTATTGTTTGTTTTGTTCGACGTGTGTTGGTGAAGACACAAAGTGCAGTTTGTGTTTCGTCTCTAATATCTGCTTCTCTCTCTTTGTCTTTGTTTTGCTCATCGCAGTAACTCCTGGGTTCTTCTCACTTCACAAAACGCCTCAGTCAAATCTCCTGACAGCCTAAGAAAGAGGAAAAAAAGAACATCTGTTTATCTGCATACTTCTATGTTCCAGAAACAAGAGGAGAAAACAGAGACTGACAGAGGACAAATGAGATCTCAGAGGATGTGGAATTAGAGGGAACAAATTGATGCTGGAGGTCCGAAGGGAAAGTAAACCTTAAATCCACCAGTGTGGAGTCACCTCACCTGTATCTCCGGATTAAAGAGCAGGGTCATGTCCCAGTTGCCATGCGCATCGCCACGCTGACCTGCCTTCCCGGCCCTTCCCCCTTCCTCTTTCTATTGGTCCATCTGCTCCTGCGGCTCCTTCTCATCCTCCACGGGCCGGAAATAACGGGAGCCTCCTCCACCTGCCCTTCCCTTTGCACGTGCTCCAACCAGGCCAGCCGAGTCATTTGCACCAGGCAGAACCTGGAGCAGGTGCCTGAAAGCATATCCGTCAACACGCGATACCTCAACCTGCAGGAGAACTCGATACAGGTAAATACACTGAAAAAATCCAAATCTTGATAAGTAATTTTTTTCCTTAAAATAAGTGCATTTGTTCTTGGATTAAGGAGGTAAAAGAAACATTTTGCCATTTGAACAAGATAATTTACACTTAAAATAAGACAGTACAATTGCATTGTCTTATTTCAAGTCCATTTTATCTAATTATCTTATTTTAAGAGTAAAAATACTAATTCCATTGGCAAACTATCTAATTTACATACTCAAATTAAGGGTAAATAAACTTAATTTAAGAAATTTGTACTTATTTCTAGATAATTTTTCCTGTGTACTGCTGAGAAAAGTGGCTCGTTAGGTTAAACAATCACTAAACTTTGAACAGGCAAACAGTTCAGTATTCTTTGCACTATGGCTTCTAGTTTTCACTGTTACAGATTATTTGAGCCGTCATTTCCTGTTTGTCTTAAACTGATGAAAACAGCTCATCCCCTCATCACCACGGCAGCCAGCTGCTTGGTTTTTCCTCTATTTGATTGTTCAAACTTTAAAATTTTATTTGCCTGTGGCCAAGGTAGAACCCTGTTAATATTACGGATTTAACCAGTCAGTTTAAAGAAAACTTCAGCGATATAACAGGTGATTGTAAACTTTCCAAAACTTACCACAATTCATAGGCATTACAGTTTTACCAAATACCTCTTCGTCTCTTTTACTTAACCATCAATCGGATGATGAGAAGAGCTCATGCAGAAAACAAGCATGTTCAAAAGTGAGAGAAATTCCGTTATTGTGGTGAAATCAAAAAGACTTTTAAAGTTTTCAAAGCTTCCTTTAAGAGTTTTTCTTCAAGTTTTATTTAAAATAATTTGTGAAAAAGAAAATCAAAGAGTGCAGATACCTACAGTACTGTGTTTTCTGTTTATAAATTTTAAGAAGAAATTAAAAGTTCTTATTACTTTTTCGACTTGACTTTTGAGAAATAAATTACATTTACAGAATGATACTAACGTATTTAAATTATCATGTCCTTTCCTTTAGTAGTGGGGTACTTTAACCTTTTAATGTTCAAAAACCATATTTTTTTTTCTTTTGGCATGTTCTAAAATCCGGTTTTATAAAATTCTAATTGTTAAACAGATAATATCAGAATAAAAGATGTTTCTTGGATTTTTCCTGCATATGTAAAAACCACGGAGTCGTCTGCCTACATGTGAACATTTATGTAATACTGTTTACATGAAGTCTACACTAAACCGGTCCAGGCGTGGAGCCTCGTGGGTCATTACTCAGCAGGTTTCTCTCTCCTATATTAATTTATCAGAAAGTATTGCCGTACCTCTTAATAAGGTGAAAAAGAGGAACGTTAATAAATGTACCGGCACAACAAGGGCTGCAATCTAAAATTAAATCTGAACCTCCATGGTCTATGCAGGGTTTTGACGTCTTAAGGGTCATGTGAAGAGTACGAAGGGCTTCACATATTTGGCTGTTCAACAAATACTGTAAAGGGGAATAAATTCGAAAGTCTGCAGTTTCCATTTAAACCTCTCATGCATGAATTATAAACTTAGTATTTCTTCATACTTTCATAAAGGGTTTTATACATCCTTAGGAATGTAAAATGAGGTTTAAAAAAAATTTATCTACATCCTATAATTAAATATTCATATGTCCACTCAAGTTTACTTTATGCATTTTATACTTTTAGAAAATTAATACTAAAAGTAGTTGCATGTATATATTTGTACTGTAGTTATTTAAATTGTGATATGGTATTCTGTTGGGATATTTTTTCCCTATGTGTCAGCCATCTTGGTTTCACAGATTCTTTTTTTTTCCATTGCGATTACCAACAAATGGCATTTTTTGTATGAGATGATGCAATAACCTCCACTAGTTTGATCTATATGCATAAGTGCCCAAAATTAAAAATTTTAGGCATATATA